TTGACTTGGCCCTCTCTGTCGCATCTTCACCTGCATTGTGATGGATCATGGGAACCTTTTACGTGAATGTCGGCACATGCTGCTTGCCATCTCGTCGCAAATCAGTCTTCTTCTGGCCGGACTGCAACGTCTTGAAGGCCAGCAGCGGCATCCACAGCCGCCACCACCGCCACCGGTTCCTGACGGCCAACTACCGCCGCTACCCCCGCCATCTACGACGCCACCGCCCTTGCCGGCAACATCAGTCCGGCCAGATTACATGACAGCACCGGTCACTCTTGTGGCCACCTCAGACAACCGTACGGAGCACCCTGCTCACGTCCGCACGGTGAGTGTCAGTACTTCCTGGGAGCACAGACGGAGGAGAAGGTCCAGACATCGGGAGCCTCATCGGCGTCGATCTCGCAGTCATCACCGGCGGCTTCCTGGCCGACCTGACGACGCGGTTCCCACGTCCCGCCGCCATGCCTACAATCCGAAGTACCCGCCGGCAGTCAAGGCCATGCCGGCGTGTCGACCATCAGGTCTGTCGTATGACCGTTGACGGAACACCAGCGGCAAAAGGACCTCAGTATTTCGGCGCATGCATGTCCGCAAGCATCATGTCTTCGCAGTTCCGCAGCCTTACTTGCTTGATTTGTCCTTGCTGTGTGTTCATTTGCCATGCAGTTGTCAGCCGAGTTTGTGAATAACCTGGTGGCGGTACTCAATGTCCTTGCATCCCAAGTTGCGACAGCTCTGGACACCCTGAACTTCGCCCTGATGACTGAGCGAAGCCACCCGTCAGACACGTCTCCCAGGGTACCACGGAACTCCAGGCACGGTCTGCGCCCTCGCATCATCACAGAGCGCATTTCGTCTGACCGATCCCGATCTCCCACTCGAAGACCTTTGGACACTTCCTCCACCTGGTATATACCGGCCTTATCCCCACCTCGTGAGGCCCATCGGGATGCCGCTGACAACAATTCTGGTCGTCGGCCTGAATCGATGTTGGATCACCTGCCACCACCACGGCCGCTTGCTCCCTAGCCCCACACGGCGGACGCGAACCAGGACAGATGACGCCTACGACACCTGACTCGGATTCTGATGGCTCAGTGCGTCCACATCCAGGTGCCTCGTCGTTCCGACCGTCTCCTACGGTGGTTCATGGACCTCGGGAACTTCTACAAGAATTCACCATTGCACTTCGCAATGCACACCGTGAACCTTTCACGGCATGGACACAGGGTGAGCTGGATGAGATGGTGCGACGGAAGAAAGACAAGGATTCCAGGCCCACCTACAAAACCATTGCTCGGTTCCTTCAGAAGCCCATTGAGGAAGTCAAGCAGGCATGGAAGGTCTATCAGCAACTTGAGGCTCGCGGCTAGGAACCCGGTCATCAAATGCAACAGCGACCACAGGAGGACTAAATGGTAGGCCGTGGCGGTGTATTCGGTTAGCGCTGCAGGTTGTTGTGACGGTTGGGATTGCAGTCATTACTGATCACATGAAATTTGCTTGCTTGCACTTGACTGGCATTTTACCAGGGTAATATTGCTTGCCGTTGTGGGTGTTGCCGCTGACTTGAATTGAATGCATGACTGAGTTGCTCAAATCATGTCGGAACAGGTCGTACAGACGTACATTACTTGGACCCATGGAGCGCAGCCGACGTGGTTACAGTTTCACGGACCTGGTGCCCTGCTTGACAGACCCATTCGGCAGACTACGTCACCTCCGCCCCCACCAAGTTTCCCACTGCTTCTTCCACCTCCGCCTCCTCCACCGCCACCACCACCGGTGATTCTACACCCACAGTTTATGCCCTCAGTGCGGAGCCCCTCGATCTCAGCTCCTCGCGGACAATCCTGCCCTGCCACATCGAAATCGCAGCGCACACGCCGCTCGATCTACAGCACTGACCATTCCCGTGATGACGAGCTACGCAGTCCAGGGCGTTCATCCAAACGATCTCGGACAGCATCCGCTTCTGCACCGCGGAGATCTCGGCGGCCCTTTACCGTGTTCCCCTCCAAACGCGCTGCGCGCTCATCGCTGTCCCCATCGGCAAATTGCAAGCATTACTGTCATGCCTTTCAGCGCCATGGGCGGAAATGTCTTTCCCCTTGTGCTCGTAGACGACCGGGACATTATCATTGCAGGTGTGCGCGGCATCAACGGCGGTGAAGCTTAGGCGTCGTATATTACAAACCTCGCTGCTGTGTCTCACCTTGAGTTTGAAAAGTTGCCTTGCATTGCCTTGGTTGCCACTACAGCTGTGCGCGGTTGTCATTGCATGTGTGTCTTCGCCGCAGATTTTCGATTGCTTTTAGCGGCCGCGTGATAGCCCGTCTTGCCGCTATGAACCCTCAATATTTCGAGTACGAGATCGACAGAGGAGTGGAGTGGATTCGAATTTACTCACCGGGCACGTGGCGACCCGTTCCCGATGATGCTCCAGTGCTCGCCCCGGTCTACGCTTCCACCTATCGGGAGTGGCGCAGGTCATATCGCTTCCAAGTGCACTGGTCCGAAGACAGCGCCGGAGGAACAACGGCGGAACCCGTTGTCACGCCCAGTTCGTATGTGTCCTACCACGTGTGGGAGTACCGAGACTGGCAAACACGAGGGTATCAACGACTTGGAGCTCCTCTACCAGCCATTGGACCCGCGACGCTCGTGAATGCAGACGCCAATTCCTTGGTGGACTCATCGGTTCCGGATGGGGCGTGGCGAGAACCGTCACCACCACCATTCTATGATCCTTGGAACGATTCGGAGTGATACTTGGGCAACATGTCGGACAAAATGACGCGGTTGTGCTTGCTTTGTGTGCGATTCCATGTTGAGTTGTCTTGCTTGGTGTTGTGCGTTCCGTCTCCATTTGTTCGCCGCTTTCATTTGACTTCGAGCGGCTTGCCTGGTTGATATGTTCAATTGTACAATGTATGGCGCAGCACGACGGGTCCTGCCTCGCTACTTTGACTACGACATCGTCAATGGCCCCGCGAATACGAGTGTTGAATGGATTCGGATCTATGTACCGGGTCCGTGGCATCCAGTCGCCGAGAACACCTTGGGACCAGCCCCGGATGACTCAACCACCTATCGGGAATGGCGCAAAGTTTACCACTTCGAAGTGTATTGGCCGAGGGATAGCACAGGCGGCACCAATACAGGTAGTCTCTTATGCATCCTTCTATACTTGGCACTATCGAGACTGGGTCACCAGGGGATACCAACGGCTGGGTCGTCCACACCCTAGCATTTCGCTTCGGGCGCACCGGACCTCATGTACGCTGGATTGACCTCTTCGTCGGCATCCTCCAACTCGGATGGTGGCTGATGCTCGTCATCGCCTTCCTGGGGAGTCTGTTCAGTTCAATTCGATTCAGGAGATTGACTTCGACACCGGAGCCGTGCATTGCCGCAAAAGTGATTTCTTGCACTGTTGTTGTTGTGTCTCTTTCAGTAATTGTTGTCTGCAGCCGTACACCTATCAGTTTGTCTTTCCGGGATGGTGTCCGGATCCTCAACAACCAGATGCCCAGTGGGTCAAGATCTTTCATCCGGGATCATGGACTCCACATGAAGAACATGATGCTCCACCTCCACCGCACACGTATAGAGAGTGGAAGGAGTTCTATGCCCCAAACCCGGACCAAGACGGTGAGCAGCCCAATGTCACCATGTGGCACAAAAGAGACTGGGCCACAGAGGGCTATCGGAGAGTCGCTGCCCCTCAAGCTGGTCATGACTTTGATTCTATGTCTTTTCCTGATCACCACAGCGTGTCCACGCAATCCGCGGCATTGAGTATGTCACCGCAGATGTTAGAAGCGATCCTTAGATCCTCGGATGCGGCGGATTTCTCTACCGAAGATCTGACTCGGCTCCAAGAAGGGATCTCTCATCAACTGACAGTTCGCGCACGACACGCTTCCCAACTACATCAACCTGTACGTGCATCTCGTGGAATCACACCATCGGAGACTGTTGGGGTCTCTGACCCATACCGACCTGTTAATCCTCCCGACAGCTGCAAAGCCAAGGCGAAATCTATCTTCGAGCTAACTGATGACTAGACTCACGCGACTGGGGCAGCGTACAAAATAAGGGTGGTTTTCACACTTGCATTACTTTGCTTGGTTGTTGCTTGTACATGGTTGTGCATGGTGCCTGTTCCTTTATCAGCTGGATCGGAGCCCGCGATACGCCTTGCCTCTTACTTCGACATGGACATCGAGGATTCGAAGCAGCACCCATGGCTCGAATACTCAGTCTGGCAGGATCAGGAGTGGGTGCGGATCTACACTGCAGGACAGCCTCAGCGTTGGCACCACGGAGAAACTGTACCTGATCTACCAGACAATTCTTTTCGGGAATGGCAGCGGGTGACTGATCCCAATGGGCGCACTGGTGAGCACGGTCAGGCATGGACCATCCGCGACTGGCAGCATCAGGGATACCAACGCATTTTGTCTCGAATGGAGTCAGCGGTTTAGGGCTGTTTCTCGCTCCCCTCGCCGCGGTGGATTTTTTGGTCAACGATAGGGACACGGGGTTGAGCATGTGATCTTCCTGCAGAAAAGGAGACTCCTCGCCCCTCATTGAGGGGCGTGTGTGTGCGGAGTGACAGAATGCCCTGTCACCACCTTTTCGGTTTCTCAGCAGGGGGCGCAGGGAGTTTCAGTGAGTCCTGCGCCAACGAAGACGCTCGCTGTTAACTCGTGATATCCAGCCTGATCAGCTGGACGTACCTGCAATTGTGATGTTTGTGAATGTCCTTTTGGTCCCCCCCCTGAACTGCCGTTGCTTCTGTGTGTCCCTGTTAAAGTAGCTACAGGGAAGCCAAGCGTTATGCGAGTCGAAGCTCATCATACTCGAGACTTATCAGTTGTACTCGAGACTCATCAGTTGTACTCGAAAGATTAGCACTCTCCATTTGGAGTTTAAGTGTGTGTGTGTGTGTGTGCGCGTTCGCGCGCGCAATGTTTTGTGTTGCAGCCAAGGAAAGCAGAGGCAACTTTCTTGAAGAAGGCAGTATGGGGGCCATTTTGGGCCATCACAGAGTGATGCCTGCTCGCGTTTTTGTGCCTTGCTCAAGCCAGATTAGAATCAAGACCGGAGATGCGGGGCTGGGCTGAACACCTCGATCCGTGCGGCTTTTTTCGGGCCTCGACAGGGGCGCAGCTCATCCAGCCGGGAAACTGGCGCCGCGCCCAGAATCTGGAGATTGGAAGTGGAAGCGATGGAGGTCTTCAGGCTATGGGCGGGGTTGTGTGGGAAGTACGTACTCAAGCGGGAATTGAAGGAATGGAAGGTGCTCAGAGACACTGATCTTGGCTATTTTCGCGATTGATATCCTGACCATGAGCAGCAGGGCCATCAGCCTTCCTGAAGGTAGGTGCAAGTCCTGGTGGCCCTTGTATCCTAAGCGGCCTACTTTGCTTCATTGGACACTCTTTTTGGTCAAGGTTGAACAGAAAAGAAGCAAAAAGAAACAGAGCCTTCGTCGGCAGACAGTTTGGAGTTTGGACGCAACCGGTGATACCAATTTGTTGCACTCTCTAGGAAATATTTTAGCACTCTCAGGGCTGTTCAAACATCTATGTACAGTCCATTTAGGGGCGACCTGCTTATTGTACTTGTCAAGCCCAGCTTTGCATGCAGGCATGTTTTGGTTGCATAGGGGCAGTGTTTCTGGTTCGCCAAGATTTTGTTGGATATAGATTCCAGTGTCATGTAAGTCATGTCCACAACAGGGTCCACAAGTAAAACTCATACCTGCTGCAGTACGCGCACTAGGATCTGATCGACGATCTTCCCGAGGTCTTCATCCGGAGCTGCGCGGGTGACTTACAGGAATATGGTCCCCGTGAAGGTGGAGGACTGGGGCTGTGCTGTGAAAGGTCTTGGGAAGTTGGGAATAAAGGTCGCATGTCGGGCGGGGCCTTTCCCTGCCGGGTTTGTATTGAGGTTTCCTTCTTCGACTCTGCAGCTGTTTTTTGAGAAGACGGTTTTGTTGTCTTTGCGACGCCAGCCTTGCTTCCACACCACCACACCGTAGGGAGGATTTGCAGACAACAGGAGGGCCTTTAGCTTTCGTGGTGTGCATGCTGGGGCTTGTCAGGACCTGCTGGAGATGCCGAGGTGGGCATGGGTGGGACCAGCTGCTTTTGATGCTCAACCGGGACGTTCAGTGTTCGCACTGTGACTTGGTTGTGCTACGCAACCTTAGGCGTGAGCGGCCGCAGCTCTCTGGCCTGGTAGCTCAAGGCAGGGAGAATGCAGACTCGGGCACAGGATGAGTTTCATGTGGATTTTTCAGGCGCAGGCATAAGCATCCCATCAAATTGCGACCCTCTTGCGACGCCAGGTTCGCATTCGCGTACTGCAAGGAAGCACGTGGGGACATTCTGATGGCGCTGCTTTGGCCGTTGCCCACGCTCCTGGAGAACTTGGCACCCGGAGATGGCCATCCCTAGCGGTCTGTGATCGCTCCCCTGGAGTGCTCCAAGATGCCCGGCTTCTGCGGATGTGGCACCAACAACAAAGCGAGAGTCTGCTAGGGCGCTGGATTCTTCGATGCAGAGTGCCCTGCAATTTCTGAATCAGGAATGGCAGTCCACTGCGTGCTTTTCGGGATGGGAAGCCACGTTCGCGTATATTTGACTCGCCTCCAGAGCAAAGCTCGTGAGTTGCAATTCGTTTCAGCCTCCCGCGTGCTCTTCTGGGCGTCTCGAGTCTGAACTCGCCTCGCGGAGAGAAGGAAAACCAAGCGACTCGCACAGAAAAGCGCATTGACGTTGCCTTGCTGGGCCTCATGTGGACATTGGGCCGTTTGTCAGGCCTTCGTAGCTCGGACTCTCGAATGCCGCGACTCAGGCAGGGGTTGATTCGAAAGGACCAGAGTTACTTCTTCTTCTTCTTCTTCTTTTTGCGAGACAGCTGCGGCCTGTGGTAGATGGGTAGGTTTGTTTTCTTAGGGGGCAGGTTCTTTTTGGAAATCGAAGGATCCACCAAAGTCTCAGCAATCTGGCAGAACGCACAACCATCACCAAAGCGAGAAGGCAGGCAGACATCATTACAAGATTTACAGTTCAGCGGTTTGACACTCTGAAGGCATTTGTGGTTGGGCCATATCTGCAATTGCTGCGCAGCCTCGGCTTCAGCCAGGAGCTTGTCACTTGCAAAGATCCCATACTTGAGAGACGCTTCTTCTCCAAGCAGTCAGCTTTGCATGCCGAGCCACATGCAAGCAACCTCCTGTAATGTAAGCTCACCCTTCCATGATCGCGCCCGTCCTTGGGGATGTGCTGACCAAGTATCATTCATGCCAAGGACGCCCAGCATGGATTTGAAGCTGACCGTGTTGGACCAACTGCCTGTTCCGCATATTTCTGCTGGACGGTGTGCATTTGCTTTGCGGAAGAGCCAATTTGCGGCGCAACCTCAGCTACACAGCATTCTACACTCCATATTTTGCCTTTTAAATCTGTTTGCTCAAACTTCAGGACGCACTTCACTGCCACGGAGAGTCTGCAGCTTGCCTACCTATCGCCACGGGGATGGGCTGGCAGCCGCTCGCTGTGCCACTTAGGCTCTCAGAGCTTGAGACGGAATCGCAGGGCTTGTGTCGCACTGGCGCTTTGGCTGAAGGGGTAAGTGGCGAGCGCAAGTTTGAATTGAGTCACTTCTTTGTATCTAGCTGCTGACAGCTTTCAGGTTCTGGCGGCTTATGGGAGTGCCAGGCGCGGATGCTTGCAGTCCTTCCCAGAAGCCTTCGGTCCTTCCCAGAAACGTTGAAGCACCTTGCAGTTGGAGGCATAATGATGCGCAGGAAAAGCATCCTGCCAATCCCTTTTGGCAGGCGGCGAGGATGTGGCACCAAGGCCACGATCCAGGATGAGGCGAGCGCTCCAAAGACCTGACATTGAACAACTGGTTCCCGCCATCCCCCCTCTGTACACAACACATGTTGTTACTCCTTGTGGAGGTCCTCGTGACAAGACACCGTTCCAGGTTCGGATCGCAGCACTCGGCGCAGATGGCCCATCCCGGAAGGAGCTGGAGGCAAGCTGGTGTACAGGGTGGGACCAAGAGACCTAGATGAAGCAAGTCTTGGATAAATCGCGGCATTCACCCTGACACCGGGTTTTGCCGGCCCCTGCATGGCGAGGCAGGCCGCGTCATGTGTGCGCGACGCAGGCGGCGGCGGCGGTTGTGGCTCACAGCTTCTTCGTGGCCATGTGCGACAACAGCTGGCCTCGGCCTTCAGAGCCCTCGATGAAGAAGATCCAGCAGGAGGCGCCTTCCTTTGAGCCCCAACCCACATTCAGAGGGACATGTCAAGCCTGAAGACGAATTGGCAAATGTATGCCAGGAGTCAACAGCTGGCATTTCATGCACCTCACAATGTGCGTTGCATGGTGATAGGCTCAAGTTTAAAACGCCTAGGGCGCCAGCTGATACGAGACAAAAGACCAGCAAACAAGGCCATGTCCATGTCTATGTCTGGTTTCCGTGGTAAGGTGCTTGTCGGGCTCTTGGCCGGGTTTGTCCCCTGCTTATCGGCAGAGGCGACATGTGACAACTCCATACTCTTGCAGCACAAGACCTCGCGACGCGCAGGCGACGCAGGCTTGCAAAGCGTGCAGGAAGCTGCTTTGGCCCAGAGGCCGACCTACGGCTCACTGGAGGGGATTGCGCTCGCAGACTTCGATGGCGACGGTGTCCTAGATCAGTTCCTTTGCAATCACGACGACATGCGTCCGAACGCCACGGCGGCGGAGTCCACGCAGCGCCTGCTGAAGGGCACCTCCTCCGGTGCCTTTGAGGAGGTGACATCAAGCGCAGGACTCTTTGGGCATCGCTGCAGCGGCGTTGCGGCCGCCGACCTCGACAACGACGGAGACACCGACCTGGTCACTGCTTTGTACCGCCAGCGCGAGGGCAGCTGCAAGGTTTGGCTGAATGACGGCAAAGGCTCCTTCACGGAATTGCCTGGAGCCATTGCGACTGCAAGTTGTCCCTTGTTTCCGGGCTCGGTTGCGCTGGCGGACGTCAACAACGATGGGAAGCTCGATGCCTACATCGGCTCCTTCAATGATCTCCTTCCAAACCTGCCGAACCACCCGAGCTCCGTCCTCATCGGGGATGGAACCGGTAACTTTGCACTTGCAGAAGCCACGGGCGCAGAGTTTCCCGAGTTTCCCTGCGTTGCCAGCTTCATGGACTTGGATGATGATGGCGATCAAGACATTGTCGTTGCCACCTGCAACAAGCTTACCAACAACAGTGGGGCTACAGTCCCTATTTTGACTCCTATCTACATCTTTCGCAACAACTTCTCTCAGTCTGGAAGGGTGGAGTTCGAGAACGATGTGGCGGGCTTCGGAATAGGGCTGCGCGTGGGGCTTTGGATGAACGTTGCCTTCGGAGACTTGGACGGTGATGGCTTGCTGGACATTTTCATGGGCCAGGCCGGGTGTGAGATCCTGGATGAGGTGGACTGCCCCCAAGTTCTTCGCCATGCGATGTTTCGGAACAATGGAAACGGGACCTACACGGATGTTGCAGAGGAGGCCGGCGTCGCAATCCACCCCTTCAACTGGGGGGCCGCCTTCATCGACCTTGAGAACTCTGGGACGCAGGATTTGGTGACAGTGGGAAAGCTCCCGCTGATTTCAGGGCCCGTGTCTGTGAACCTGGGAACAGTCTACCGCAACGAGGGCTCCTTTCCATGGACGCTGCTGGGCCCCCTGGGTGTGACTGATTCAAGTTCGGGCCTAGCAGTGGGTGATCTGGACAACGACGGCTTTGAGGATATTGTGGTGCAGGATTTCGGTCCTACCACTCCACCTGCAGGACCAGAAGAGAGTGCAGCCGTGATGCTCCTCAATGTCAACAAGGCCAAGGACCCTGACAACAAGTGGTTGAAGGTGACGTTGGTGGGAACTCGTTCAAACCGAGATGCTGTTGGCGCGAAGGTCAAGCTCTTGTACACTTCCAGACAGTCGGCTGGTGGCAGCTATACGAAGCCCCGTTCGCGCACCCAAGTGAGGGCCGTGGTCGGTGGATCTTCTTTTTTCTCTTCCAATTCGAAGACGATTACTTTTGGGCTTGGGCTGTTTGGGAGGGCCAAGTTTCTTGAAGTGCAGTGGCCAGATGGGTCGAAGCAGATCAAGAAGCTGCGCGGGCGGATGCAGCAAAACGCTCACGTGCAAGTGCGTGAGCGGCGCATACCGCGTCCCAAGTCCCTGTAGAACTGAAGCACCCGCGAGTGGTTTTTTTGCACGGCACATCCACGCTAGAGCCGTCGGTTGCCGGGAAAAAACAGGTGATTGCGTCAAAGCCCAGTCACAAAATCGCCGGTTCTAGACCCTGAGACAGGGAAATCCAGGAAGTTACTCAGAAGACACGCTAGCTAGCATGTGCTGCCATCTCACGACCTGTTGCTGGCACTCTTTGCCCCTTCATGCTGCATCGCAGTGGAAGCCTTTCGAGAGAGAACCGCTTTTGGGGATAAATGCCAAAGGAACAAGCGAGGTGACAGCGCTGGAGCAGTCCCATCGGAGAACTGGGGCATTTGCAGAGAATTTGTACCGGAGACAAAGGCAACGAGCTGGCCAATTGCCCGAGGGGGAAGATTGTTCAGTTGCAGTGTCATACACAGATTCTATGTGTAATTTTCTCAAGCTCCAACGCGCTATGCTGTGTTGTGTGGAGGTCTACGACGACTTGGCCACACGCTACACGCCACCCTGCGGGCCTGGCTGCCTGCTATTGGCACTCAAAGAAGGCGCCCCACGGCCTAGCGGTGTGGTTCTACGGACTTCACTAGGAGGGCACGAAGTCATTTGCGGCAGAAGCATGCAGTGTTTCGCAATGGGTGGCAGAGGGCGTCTCCGGTTGACTGGAAGAAATACTTGCACACTGAAATACTGCTATTGCAAGGAAGCAAGGGCGACAGTCGATGTTGCAGTGAAACCTCTTGGTCCTGTGGCGTTTCGTCAGTGGTTTCCTCTCAGTTTGGGTCTGCATCCCTGAGGTGCAGTGGTGGGTTGCGTGGGTTTGGAAGTCATGCCCTTCGAGGCGGGATGTGTGACTTGCCTTTCTGCTTGCGGCTGCTGGAGAGAAGAACTGGGGCAATTGACAGAGGCTTGCCAGAAAAGCTAATCATGTGAGGGAGCTGGCGCTTAGCCTGATCACACTGACACAAGCTCCAAGCTGGCATATTCAACTGGCAGCTCTTGCGTTAGTTGTGAGCTCTTGTGTATTTCACGCTCAATTCTTGGCAGGCCTGCGTCCTGCGTACGCGCAAAAGGGGTGACTCCAAAAACCGTCGGAGCCGTCAGAATCGCCAACCAGAGGAGCTACCGGTGTCGTCTCTGGCGCGGCTGAGCGCTGAGCGGCCCCCAAGGCGGGCCGCCACGGGCCTACGGGTCTGGTTAGTTTAGCACCCGTGAGGCATCGACCATATTGATCCTTAGGCGATTGATTTGGTGAAGGTTGGGGCCAGCTTTCCCATGAAAGTGTGGGCTGCCGGCCACGTGTCCATTTGGGCCGCATGTCATTTTGGGATTGTGGGCGAGCAGAGCCAAGCTCCACAGGCAGCGCGTGGCCTACATGTCCAACCTCTCAGACTCCTGACTGGAGGGCAATCAGATGCTCAAGCAGAGTTTGCAGAGTTCATTGACAGCGACGGTATTTAGTTTGCAATTTTATGGAGGGTCCAAACTACAGGACCACATCTAGGGCCGTTTTTTGGGAGCCATTTTTTGGTCAGCTGGTTCAATATGTGCACAAACACGTGCTCGGGTTAGTCTTGACATTGGATGCTCTGAGCCCTTCCTTGCCGTGGCTGTTGGAAGGCCAAATTACTCTGGGAGGAAAACAGACTTTGGAGGGATGGGCTTGACCTGGGGCTCCACATTCAGAGAAGAAAAGCAAGCAAACCCTGCGAGGCCGATTTCGGGACACGTCCTCGCGCAATTTGGCCATGCTGAGGTCCGGCAAGAGCAGCGGGGGCAGGGCTTGGGCCGGCGCCTAGTGCTGGAGGCGGGAGACGTAGCATTTCCCTTTGCATTCCTGATAGTTTTCCCCTATTATCTCCTCGGCGTTTCCTTATCACTTCTTTAATCTCGGTATTCTCTGAGTCTTCCGTCTGAGAATTCCCTATTACTAATAATTACTCCCTTCATATTCCCCCCGTTCCTTTGGCATTCTCTTACCTCCAGGGTTCCCTCAGCACTCCTCCAGTATTCCCATCCAGAAGTATGTCCTCAGTATTCCCCTAGTATTCTCTTAGTCATTTCATAAGGAAAGAATTCTGAGGGGCCCACATTGTTGAATATTGTGTTCAAATGTTTACTGATTTGTAGGCAAGTCTATGGGAAAGATATCCTGTGTAATGTTTCCTTCGAACTCAACACAGGAATTCTGATTGGATTATGTCCTTATTAAATTCTTTGTGATTGTGAAGTTGAGTAGAACTTGATAAATGTATTAAGCACAATTCAGAAGGAAAGAAGTCAGTGTGGCTTAGTGATGCAGGGTGCTTGCAATCCAGGATGCTTGTGCCAAAACAGGCTGCCCAAGTGTGATACTAAAGGAGTACTAGTGGAATACAAAGGGGTAGCGCGTGCAGTGGAGACTCCAGGCAGAGATACAGGAGGAACACAAACCAGCAACCTCAAGAAACACCATGGCAAGGTTCTCACAGGCTTTCGAGTTGTCCAGACAAAGTGTGCCAACCCCGAGTTTCCAAAAAACAAAAGCAAAACAAAAAGAAGCCCCAGACTCATGCCCCAGATCCTGGAGACACTTTGCGTGGGGCCTGGAGTTTTGAAGTTAAAAATGAGTTTTCCAATGCGTCCAAGCCGCGCGGCATTTTGCTGCGTTGGCCTTGTCTCGCTGCACAGCCCTCTTCTTGCCTTGGGCTAGGACGAGGCCCAGAATGTGGTTGCAGCTCAGTACTGCTGTGAGGGATCACGGTGGGACGAGCCTGTGAGTAAGCGCTGCCATTCAAGGATGTCACGCCTGCCCTAATCCCGCCAGTCGCGTTTCGCTGGTGCGGGCGGGCCTAGGCAGTGGCGCTTCTCGCCACACTTGGGTCTCTGAGCCTGAGGGTCTCCAAGTCGAGGAGGCGACGTCTGCAGAGCCTCCTGGGCCTTAGGCAGCGGCTCCGCGCTTCCCACCTCGGCAGCTTTCGCTCAGACCTCAGTCCCCAGATCCTGGAGACACACCCCCATGGGGCCTGGAGTTTTGGTTTGTTAGTTTTTTATTGAAAACTCAAGGTTGTTGTGAAAAGTGAGAAAGCCCCGAGCTTACCAAAACCAAAACCTCAGACCCCGTGCCTGCTGGGGCCTGGATATTTGTTCAGTTTCTTTTGCAAAGTTCAAGGTTTTTTCCCCAGATAGCTGAAAGCCATAGGGGTTCTAACTTCTAGTAAAGAGGGGGAAGTGATTTGCGAGATTGATGGGCTGGTGCTAAGGGGCGTGCAGTTTGGGGTGCTGGTTTTTGCGGATTGGGGTGCTGTTTGACGTGCTGATGGCGGTGCGGGCGCATCTTTTCAAGATTGACGGTAGGGTGCTAGGGGGCATGCAGTTTGGGGGTGCTGGTGCAGGTGCTGTTTTGGGTGCACGGGGGCATGCAGTTTGGGGTGCTCGTGCTGGTGGTGTTTTGGGATGCTATTTGGGGAGCTGTTTGAGGTGCTGGTGGCGGTGCGGGCGCAATTTGCGACAGTTTGGGGTGCTGCTGCAGGTGCTGTTTTGGGATGCTGTTGGAGGTGCTAGTGATGGTGCGGGTGCTCGATTGACGGCCGGGTGCTGTTTGGGACGCTCTTCGGGGGGTGCTGTTGGAGGTGCTGGTGTGCAATCATATTGCAATCATTGCTATTTGGGGTCTATGCTGGTGTACTTCTTTTTTTTTTTTTTTGAAAAGTGAGCTTTCAAAAAAACAACAAAGGAGTTTTTGTTGGTTTTGGACCCCTTAAGTTTCATGTTGAGGATGTCGCAGCACCACTGAAAACCAATTGCAGGCACTGTTAGGGGTCGTAAGTTTGGACCCTTAAGTGTCGGCTCTTGGAAGACCAGTCGGGGGCAATGATGCTGGGGATGTCGCAGCCAACAGCACGCGATCTCAAGGACGTTGCAAGTAGGGTCGGGTGCAAATTCTGCTCTGAACAGCTACCCCGTAGTCTGCCAAAGAACCACCGCCCTGATTTGAGCTGCACCAAGATTTGAACCCACCCACAAACAGCACGTTGCACAGTAACCTGGGCCCTGACCCGACAGCCGCAATTCAACTCCGAAATAGAGCAACAAGCAAAGACCAACAACAAGCCGCACAAAGTCAACCCCAAATACATCTAGCCCTTGAAAACCGCATCAAAGCAACCTGCAAAATCCACCGGCTTCAAATCAAGGGGGGCCTTGGTCTGATCGCCTGCCGCCCCAGGGCCTCGGTGGATTACGAGATTTGCATGCGGGTGTCCCATTTTCGTTTGATTTTAACGGGGAACAAGAGGAAAACCACTCATTTCGATGGATCCCTATTCTGAGACAAGCCCATGTCTTGTTTCAACCGCTTGGTGTGGAAAGAATGAGTCACAGGCGGAGTGCTGGGCCCAGCAGGTGCTGAGGGTGCGCGAGGCAGGGGTCAGAATCTCCGAAGGGCTTGGGCCTTGTGGATTGCCATGAGGTCATCCTCTTAGTGAGCTCCAAGAACCACGCAGCACAGCGACTCTATGTTAGCCTGGGCTATCAGCTTGCTTTCAAGGCGCGTGAGCCTGTTGGGGTTGCACAAAAAGGGGGGCTGATACTACTTTAGTATTGGGCCGGTGCTTTCTTTTTACAAAACACGCAACAATCGCTGCAAAATGATAAGGTTCAGAGACTACATAGATAATAATGCTAATAAAAATAGTAAAAACAATAACGATAACAATACCGATAACAATAATAATAATGATGATGACAATACTAATAACAACAACAGTAGTAATGATGCTAATAATGATAATAAATAATAATACTATCAATACTAATACTAGTAATAAAAATAATAATCATGAAACACCAACAACAATTCAGACACGAGTGATGCAGAGCAGGGAAATGTGTACTTTGCGTACTACACTTGCACTTAAAGTTGCCACTTTGAAGCCGGAGGCGGGAAACACTGCAAAACGACCAGGGGTAAAGCAAAACGATAACCACGAAAAGGGATCGAAGATTTTCACCCCCTTTGTAAAAGCAATTTCTCTTGCTTTCTCGCTTCCTGTTGGTGCATGCCTGAGAAAGATTGCGCAGAACTTGTGCAAGGATCCATGGGCACTTCGAGCAGTGCCAGCAGATGATGGAATCAATCGAATCCGCGTGACCAACGTGGGCTACGTGCGAACCCTCTCCTTGGAGGCCTTGGAGGCCTTGGAGGCCTTGCTACATCTGTAAATGGAGCACACCTACCCTCTTTCCAACAGTCATGGAAGTGCACAAAGGGGTTCCGCAAAAGGAAAATAGTCTTCCAAAGTCAACTTCCATGATTGTTGGAGGGAGTGTAGTTGGGAAGGTTTTTCTCATGGGACCAAAGGAACCGCAGCGCGTTCAGGAGCCAAAAGCCACGGAATCTCAGGCCCGGCGCTGGGTAACAGGTCGAAAGTTGCTTCGGGCTATGGCAGAGTCCGCACGAGAAGGCTTGCCTTCAGTTTGTCATTTCGAGATGGCTCCTTTGGCCTGTACGCCCTGACAAGTTTGGTTTGCTTGGCAGCAAGTTGAAGTTCTGAGGCACCGCCGTGGTCTGTGCTGAAGGACTTCTTGGGTCTCTGAAGGGGCGTTGAAGACACGGAGACGCGAATGCGCGCAATGCGCGCCAGCGGCGAGATGGGCAGTGCTCGACACGCTCGAGCTCAGTAGCTGTAGCTGGACCGTTGACGCTCGAAAGCCCTTGCACATCTTGAACATAGGGCGCCATGTTTTGAGTCGGCCTCCAAATCGTGACGATTCGGGGGGTGGTATCGTAGGTTCAGAGAAGAAAGGACCGTGAATTGAAAAACTGGACCCTGCCTCGGCCTGCACAGCGAAAAAAGGCGCCAAGTGTGGGAGTTTGCTTCTGGCGGTTTGTAAAGCCTCAGATTCTTTGATTGGCGCCTTTGGACAGGTGCAGCGGAGGATACGAGCACGCTGAGTTTTGATCTTACGTCGGACTACGTTGTGGCAATAGAGCAGGCGGGGCAACAAGTGAAGGAGCAAAGAGTCTTGGTTCATCTGAATCTTCATCTCAAGCGATGTCAGAATTGTCCAGTGATGACCCCCCTCTACTTTCGTTCTTTGCAGATACCAGTGCTGGAACTTCATTACATTTTTTGGGAGCCTGGCATGCTGCATAACTTGTTTTCCAAAGGTGGACTGCACACTGGTTGATATTGTGCGTATCGAATCCGTACCGTGGCACTCTTCCCTCGCTGATCTTATCCCTCTTATTGCGTGACCATACCGAAACTTGAAGTATCCGTGCTCCTCACTTGGCTTTGAATCTCAGTAAGGAACACCCTCAACACCGATTGACGAACATCACCCCCCTGGTACATGACATCAGAGACAAAGGATATCTACCCTTGGTGGCCCCCAGCCGTCCCCTTAGCTTTTCGGGCTTTTAGGCTTTAGTGGCAGTTTCCATTTCCACTAAAGTCAAACTTTCAGCAGGGGATCTGAGGGCAGCCCGGTAAAGGTCGAGGGCAACCAATCCAAAAACGCCGCGCCAGCGACGCTTCGCTTCGCAGGCCGCTGTGGGCCACAGCAGCAGCCTGGGCGCGCAGCTGATGCTCTTCACGGCCCGCCGGCCCGGAGCGAACGTCGAATCGATAGATCCGAAGCGCTGCCCAGGAATGAGGGAATGACCCAAAAACACACTCCAACGGGTGTTTTTTTTTCAAGGGGGAATTCTGGGTACCTTCCCTCATTCCCGCGCCAGCTCCCAATTTGGGAATGCAATTGTCTTGGCCCTGTTTGTGGTACTTTCCCGATCCTCACGCTTACCTTCCGAAGGTTTTGTCCGATGGGGAAACAATGTACATGAGCAACGGCCCATATGTGGGTACACTCACCAAATTGTCACTGGGAACTGGAGCTTACTTAGCCAAAATCCCCATTGCACACCTCTTTTTGAACGGCTGCTAGGAGGAACTCCTGTGCCAAGTCATTGCACACTGAACATATTGACGGCTCAAATCAGATAGGATAACTTATTCTAGGTGTCGCTTGCACCAAGGCGATGGGACAGACGCTTCCCATCAGCGGGCGCCGGCAAAGGTCGCCACCCAGCCGCGCACGGGGCTGAGAGATCTGGCTTCCTCAACTAAGCCTGCAAAGGGCGTCCGGAAAAAGAGACTCACCCACCATTCTGGTGACGTGAGGGGAAAGGGTCAGAATGAGAGTGTGAGAGTATCAACCGTTGCCACATTTGTCCCCTGTGAGCAAAAATCAAAAGGCGTTGCAATGGGGCCAGA